TTCCTTTTTAGCTGATATGTTTTTGTGATCTCCTAAGTGGAGCTTTCTTTGCACATAAAGTATTTGTCCACTGTTTTGTTGCTACAGATGTCTTTTTTTTTTTTTTTTTGGTCTGGCAATGTTGGTGCAAATGTGCAATTCTTTATAGGGGTGTCTGTTTCTTTTATCTTTGTTCATAAGTAGTTTAGTGTCTGGGTCGGTAAGTGTTAATGTGTGAAGAATCTAACATTGTGTGAGCTAAAGTGTCCTTATCCCTCCCTGGTGGTGCAGCAGGTTAAAGCACAGAACTAAGAAGCCAAAGCCACTTCAGCATGAGTTCAATCCCTGCCCAGGAGGTGAACCACATGGCTTGACAGACCTCTCCTGACCCGCACCATATTTTAGAACCAATTGAAATGTGCTCAGTGCAATAAGCTGCACATATTGCAAGTGTAGTTAGTGTTTGATAATAGTTACTGTGCACACCACCACCATTGCAGGATAAAGGCCATGTGTGAAGTTAGGTGGTCTTTTTTTTTCTTTAAATAATATAACAGCTTATTTTTACATCATTTTGTACATTTTTTTTTTAATCTCAGTGGTAATCCCCGCCGGTTTCCCATCACTGAGTCACCCGTGTGCCATCACCATAGTCCCATGCACTTCCCATCTCCCCCTTTTGATCCCATTCCCCACTCCACCCCCGCAAAATATCTCTGGTATATGGCTGAAGTTAGGTCTTCTTGCTGTGCTTTTATATTGGTAATCTTACTACAGTTTGCATTTGCCAAACGTAAATGATTTTTCTGATGTTGCATTATTATTTTGAGGTTCATCCAGAACACCCATGAGGACCTCAGCTTTCTGTTCATCTTTAGAGTTATATTACCATTCATTGATTTCTTTGTGGTCAGAGGACTTTTTGCCCACACAGTTTAAACCTACCAAGTTTGTTTGAAATGGTCGATTTCTTTGTATCACACTGTTTCATTTATCTTCCCAGTAACTTAGAGTGCAATGTTACTTTTGAAGAATCTTTAACATTTTGATCTGTGATAATCTCTTATACTTTTATGAGTTTATGTATCCAAGAACTAATTTATGTTGGATTTTCACTCATTCTGGAATACATGAACTCCATTTTTATTTAGTGGATGATTATTTTCAATGGAGGAATATATTATTTAATTTGAAGCTCTTTGCACACATGTACCATGTGTTGGAGACTAATCTCCTTTATGACATTCTCGCCATAAGTGTCTTAAATAAAAGTATTTAATAAAACCTTGCTGTGGGTGTTTGCTCCTTTTCCTTGTCTTTCACAGGTGTGTTGGATCAGACGTGTGATCCAGGGTGTCAGGATTTGCTGATACCTATCACAGTTGTGGAGAACTACAAGAAAGTAATGTTCTGGAACCACAATGTATTTTGTGTGATAATGAGTTTCTAATACACAGAAGTTCTGACAGTAGCTGGGGAAGTAATAATCCCTTCCCGTTTAGGCAATGAGATGGTGGGGTTCAGATGGCTCCGTGAGACACCCCCCTTGCCCCCACTGTAGCCACCACCCTTGCCACTTGATAGACACCTAATGCGATCGAACATAGCTGAGGATGCTGAGTAAGATCTCTCAGCTGGGAACTGATGCTGCTTTGAGAGCTGGGCGCAGTCCTGAATATGTGAACATGTGAGCTGGAAGTATGTTTTCTGCAGAAAGACAGAGCTGGACATCACTCACCCCGTTTCATAGCCTCCTAATCTTCCCTTCTCGTCAGGCACGTCTTGACTCAGAGTTAAAACGGGCTAAGGGTTACTACCACAAACATTGAAGAGCAAGAAAACTCTCCAGAAGATGCATTTTTGTCTGAACGTGGAGATGCCATTTGGATTTGCAGCCTTTGGGAATAAGTGACATAATCTATTAGTCCTCAGAGCAGCTTCCCTTTCTACAGCTATAACAACTTTAAAGTGTTTCTTTTAAGGACATTTATTTAAGCACACGAGAGTGGGGTGCAGGCCAGAGGTGGGGGGTGACAGGACTCCCCAGAGAGAGACTGGGGAGCAGAAAAGGCAGATCCACTGAGACTACAGAGAGGCAGCTGGGGACAGGAGCGGACTGCTGCGCACTGGCTCTCACTCCTGGCCGGGGTGGATTCGGGCTCAGGGGCTGCCCACAGCTGCATAGCTGAGACTTACCCTGCGCCCAGGCGGGGTCACTACTCGTAAGTGCCAGTTTGCTGACAACTTTCTAAGAAACGCTACCTTTCACGGTACGGACACGTGCCCCGTAAACTACACTACCCAGAGGGCACTGCGCCGACATCCGGGCGAGAGCCAATCAGGCCCCGAGGGCGGTGCCGCGCGTGCTCACGAGTGCGTGGGGCGGGACTTCCGGCGTCGTCCCGGTGGCGGTCGTTTTTTTGAGGAGACTGTTCGCTCAGTCAGAGGCTCGGGCGCCCGGCGGGTTTGAGACCCGACGGGAGGCGCGTCCCCTGCGGAGTCAGCTGAGGACCGCGGGGACCACCCACACGCCCGGCGCCCGCCCGCACCCCGCACCGTCCGATGGCGGCGTCCGCGCCCAGGGCACCGGCTCAGGTACAGGCGCGCGCCGCGGCGGCCGGGGTGCGGTTTGGGGACGGGGGACACGGCGTCAGGGGGG